GACTTACTAGAGTCCCCTGCCCCCTTGGCTATATAAATTTGGAAGATTTATTTATTTATAACAGAGTCTTACTCTCTTGTCCCAGAGTAGAGTTCTGTGGAATCATAGCTCATAGCTCACAGCAACCTCAGACTCTTGGGCTCAAATGATCCTCTTTGAAGGCTCAAACAATCCTCTTGTGTCAGCCTCCTGAGTAGCTGGGACAACAGATGCCTGCCACAATACCTGGCTGTTTTTTAGAGACAGGGTCATACTCTTGTTTAGGCTGCTCTCAAACTCCTGAGGTCAGGAATTTGGCAAATTTAAAAGAATGTTAGTAATTTAAAAGAATGTTAGTATATTTTTGTCTTGCCAAATAATTTCAGCAAATTCTTGATACCTAAAATAACATAAACACTGCCAGATTATAAATAGAATTTATGAACAAGGTTTGCAAATACCAGGGATGCCTGAAGATGTGTACACACCGTACGATGTTATCTATATATTATATGTTATGTATATACTTTGAGCATCTCTTGTAATGGCAGAATTGAAACGTGCATTCATCTTGTTATTAGTATAGAGTATTACTATTTTAATGTAGTTTTTCCCTTTCTTAAAATACATAGACTTTTTTGGGGCACACTCTGTGTAAGAACTGTTTCCTGGGGAGGGAGGTGGGTAGGAGTATTAAGTAGAGTTCTAGGTTGTTGAAAATGTGAAATGTGAAATGTAAGTAATACGTAGAGACATATTAGTAAATGGCGGAAAAAGTTTGTTTCCCTGACTTTGGTAGCATGGCATATATTTAAGCAACTCATTTTGTATTCTTTTGTTTCTTTTCAGCTCCAATGGCTATTGAAGAACAAGTGGCTGTGATCTATGCAGGCGTAAGAGGGTATCTTGATAAACTGGAGCCCAGCAAGATCACAAAGTTTGAGAATGCTTTCTTGTCTCATGTTATCAGCCAACACCAAGCACTGTTGGGTACTATCAGGTATGAACACAAACGGTGGCCTGATAAGTTATGTTTTAAGATAAAGCCTGTAAAGTTATGTTTTAAGATAAAGTCTTTATTAAGCAGACCTGAGGCAGATTCTAACCTGCCACCCCTGGTGCACAGGGCTGACACTCTAACCACTGAGTACAGAGTTAAAATTTTGTCCAGATGAGAACTGATGATCTACTTTTGTTTCCAAACAGGGCTGATGGAAAGATCTCAGAAGAGTCAGATGCAAAGCTGAAAGAGATTGTAACAAACTTCTTGGCTGGATTTGAAGCATAAATTGCTATGGATTTACATCAGCTACCGATTTGGTTTTGTCATTGTTTCTTCTGGTAAATCATTTTCATTTGTAAAAGTATTGTACTCCCATTGTACAGAAATCACGTTAAAAATAAAGGTTCCATGTTTGTGTGGCGGTTTTCTGTTTGTATTACTATTTGAAACAGATCATGTTAAGAAATTGTCGAACATGCTTCATTATTTTATTTGAATATTGGTACAGTCAGCAGGACTAGATAATTCAAGGCTGTGCTCTTTTCTGGAGTACTTGTGGATGAATAATGATGATAGAATTTAAAGTTTTATATGGGCCAGGAAAAAAAAGATTTTGGAGTACTTTGTGGTGGATTAGAGAGAAATTTATAAGTATAACTGAATACATGTGGCAAATCTATATTGAAGAGCATGACTGGCTTCTCTGCCCAGACGTTCCTGTATAAAGAGGTGTACTATAGGCAGGAAAAGAATAGGACAACTAAAATTCTCAAGGGAATGAAAAAGTTGCTAAGTGAAGTATGAAAAATAAGGACAAAAAACTGAAGCCATGGCAGAATTAAGAACTATGGCACCTTGTCAATATAGTTTGTTCTCATGTAGTTTGTTCATTTTAACTAACAAGCAGCAGCCCATAATTACAATGTGATCAAACTACATTGTGTGTATATATATATATGTGTGTGTGTGTAAGACAAAAAAAAAAGAAAAGAAAATATATATACACACAGTCACAAAAATAACTTTTCTGGCTCAGTGCCTATAGCTCAGGGGCTAGGGCACCATCCATGTACACTGGGACTGGTGGGTTCGAAACCAGCCTGGGCCTGGCCAAATAATGACAACTACAACAACAAAAATTGGTCGGGCTTTGTGGTAGGTTCCTGTAGTCCCAGCTACTCGGGAGGCTGAGGCAAGAGAATCGCTTAAGCCCAAGAGTTGGAGTTTGCTGTGAGCTGTGATGCCAGGTACTCTACTGAGGGTGACATGCTTGTAATCCTAGCACTTTGAGAGGCTAAGATGGGTGGATAGCCCTGAGCTCACAGGTTCAAGATCAGCCTGAGCCAGAGCGAGACCTTGTCTCTAAAAACAGCTGGGTATTGTGGTGGGTGCCTGTAGTCCCAGCTACTGGGGAGGCTGAAGCAAGAGAATTGCAATTGCTTGAGCCCAAGAGTTTGAGGTTGCTATGAACTGTGACTCCACAGCACTCTACCAAGGGTGACAAAGTGAGACTGTGTCTCAGAACAACCCCAAAAAACAACCTAATGAAAAGTTAGACATCTGATACTTCTGATACTTTCTCAGAAACCCCATGTGTCCCAATATGGTGTTTCTGAGAGCATCCCTGAGTGCTTAGGGTCGGATTTTTAAGGCTTGGTCTGCATCCTGGTTGGTACACAGGCTGATCAGGTGTATCAGGGTAGGATAGCAAGCAAGCATTGTACAGAAGCAGAATTTTGCGGTTAGTTAGCCATACGTCATAGATTTTTGTTTTAATATTTTCCCTCTACACATCTTAGTTTCTGTACTGTCCCCCATATGTCTAAGTCTCAGTATTTTCCTTACCTGGTATTGTTTAAAGGTCAGTCC